TAATAGACTAAGTTATGACAAATTTGGCAAATGCCAAGTTAGCAGAGGCCTGGTCATCAGCTTTCAGAAGGTTGATGGTAGTTTAACGGGGTTCGAAGGTTTCGACCAGCCTTTCTCAAATTAGAAATCTTTTGGTGATTTGAACATAAAAAGTGAAACTTTTGAATTGTTTGTGTTTAAGCAGCCATGATACTAGCAAATAAACGTACTACTAAGCTTAATGCGCGAAATTAATAAGAGATAGCTCAAGAAGTACAATAAAAGTTCATAAGCTAGCCTTAATATCTAGGGGTCTAGTAATTGCTCGTAATTGCATTTTTCCATGATAAATCTTCTTTTATTCTTTTTCGAACTTATAAACTCTACTATCTCTGGAGGCTTGATTTCTATCACATATTTCTATCTATTTTAGACACTATCCTTTAAGTGGATATGTGGAAGTACGGTATGATGATTTAGAGGAACGTGTGGTTTCAAAAAAATGATTCAAGAATTTTGATTTTGCAAGTCCTTGGGAACAACCTCAATATTCCAAAGTAAAGTTAAGTTATTAAGGAGACAATTAAAGTTTTGAGAAGAAGGTCAAAGAGTAACATAGAACCCAAGAATGTAGTGTATGATATGATGTGAATCAGCCCGGGCCTAGAGAATTTGTTCCAAAACGTACATGCGGACAAGGTCGCACCAGGCAGGTTTGGCACAGGCACGTAGTGCAAAGAACAAAGGAGACGGTAGATTAACAATACAAGGCAGAAAATTAAAGACTAAGAAAATCATAATTTTTGGGGGTTGGGAGTGTAACAGAATTAACGAAACTAACTACTAAAACTAGATGAGTCTAGGCCGGTGATATCTACTGTTCCACAAGGGCCAATAAAATACAAGATCAAGGATTTGGGACTGTAGGATTTTGGTTAGATGATGGATGGTTATCTGTTCCATCAGATAATCAACTAGTTGGGTACAGGATTGCTGTTTCATTTAAAAAAGAAAAGAAAAGATATGATAGTAATTAGAAAGAAAAAACACCAAAAAAAGATTGCTCATATAGAATCTGTACCAAAAATATGAATGGAAGCTAGCAATCCAAGAAGTCACGAAAAAAGTTTCTAGATTACAACATAAAAATGTAACCATATTGAGATTTATTTTAACAAAGATTCCAAAGCGTTTGTCCACATTCCAAGAATTATACTTTGAATATAGCTTTGAACAAAAATGCTAGTCATAAAATTTGACGAAAAAATGATTTAAAAATCAACATCCTGAACCTAAAGATGTTTATAATTGTTCAAAAATGTTTATTTATTTTTGAATTCTTATGTCACATCATCACATAAATTATTATGTGAAGGCAATTTTTAGCCTGCAACTTTCTATTTAGACCAAAAAATTATACGATATTCTTCTTCTGTTCTTCAGTTCAAATTTTATCTTGGAATATAAAGATATTAAGTATCTCATAATCTCAAACATCTAATTTTGATAATAAAATTTTCACAAATGTTGCAGATATTCTTTACATGAATCTGGCCAATGTAAATCAGCATATGGTTTTATTTAGCAACAAACCTATATAATGCAAATGGTGTTGCAATCAGCTTAATTTTTATTGATTCAGATCTTTCATCCATAATATATTTATAGACTTAGTTATTAGAGTATAAATAGACAAAACCAATATCTAGACAATTTAATGTGATATTCGAACAATGCTTGTTTGTAAAATATTTCATAAAAGCAAACTACTCATCAACATTATAATTGAAAAAATATTGCATTAAGTGAATTCGGCTGCTGGACTACGACTCTTTCCTGGATTCTTTTTCATTGCCTGCCATCTCGGAGCTCCATGCCACTCCAGGTGGTACATTTATTTGTACACTGACTAGAGTTTCTGGAATTTCCTGGAAAATTATATTCTCGATGTAACATCGAGACATATTTGGAGATCGAATTCTATTGAACTCAGCAGCGTCATAACTCTATATTCATACCCACACGGTGTATAATTTCTTCCTGAGACCCATACTCTGCATTCCAGAGGAACAAGCATCAAGGCAGCAGTCACGTTGTGCTTAAGACTTGCTGGTAGAATTCACTTTGGCAATGTTAGGTGTTTGAGAGCATTCCCAAGAATCATCCTCAATTACCCATGAACATCGTACTTGTGGTAATCTCTGCAATTCTATTCTCTTTTATTATACTCGATTATTTTTTATTGGTTTTCTACCCAGCAACTTGATACTGTAATAATCACCCATAACTGTAGCCGGACAGGATACTTCGTGATTCTACGATAGACCTGAAAAGCAATCTGGTAAGCGGTTATGCTCTTGGAAGATTGTGTGGGATTTGCAGAAGATAAAAACACTGGGTAGTTTCATTTTCTAAACTTAGTTTTCACGCATGCGGTCAGACTAATGAATCACCAAACGTCATATAGCAGTTTTTAACCTAAACGCCACTCTTGTGGGTATCAAATGCAGTGAAGAAGCCAAAAGAGGCTTTCGGGGTTGCATATTCAACTCAGCTCAGGGTTGGAATTCAAAAAGAAGAAAAGAGGGTAGCGTGATTCTGATGGACTCTCTAGTCCAGTCATTGTCATGTGCTTTTTAATCAAGGTCAGACAAAAAAATCATAAGTATCCAGCCCACCATCTTCACTATGTAAAGTGAACTGCTCAAGTACAATACAAGCGGGAATTGAAAAACAATATACTAAAGGATCTTCAGTTAAGATCTGAAAATATCTAAGATATATTTCAATGTGTGGACCACCGAGTGGTCCACACTCTGAAAACTATGGAATAATATTGTGCATTTTTTGGAAGTGGTTGCATAAAGATTCAATGCCATTGAGAACACTGGTGTCAGCTGAGTTATTTCAAAACACTTTTTATCTATAACCTAATGTGAGCAAAAGCTATTTCTAGCAAACTATACAATGAAAGTTTCAACGTACCATGTGACCTACTATAACATTTCAATAAACTTCTCTTACAAGTACATCAATGGATATATGACTAACCATGGTGACAATGATACTAAAACTTTTAGGCCGTAACCATGGTGACAATACACAAGAAAGAGAGAATGTGCTTTACACAGGAGAGAGAAAAGAGAAAACGTGAAATAACACGGTAGTGTTTAAATGACTTTATCGGGTTAGGAATGTGCTTTAATTTTCTCATTTGATTTATGAAATGAGCAAACGAGTGCAAAAATTACAGTATGACTTGTTTCATTTTAGTTAATATATATCAAATTTTTGAGTTTCCATGTATGCTTGTCTTCTCCTTTACACGTTAACGAGATCTTCATCTGAACTCATGACTTAGTGCTATCTAACATTCAGCATATGAGGTAATTTTCATCTCATGTATACAACACAGTTTTTCTTCACCTGCAAGCAAGTACGAAAAATGTGAATTCTTGAGAGGATTGACGGTTGACCTTAGCAAGTATCATGCTGGTTCTATCGTGTTCTATACGACGTGATGAACAAGCAGGAGTGCTCTTAGCTCGGACGAAATCTGATTTGAATTTTATGTTTGAGGTCGAAAGACCTCCAGACTCTGGTTTTAGAACTGTGCAGTGTTAGACAGTTGAGGTAGAAGAACAATCATACCAGCAGTTGAAAACCCCGAGTATTCGTATACTCTATACACAGTTCCTCTACATTATGTTTGGTAGACTTCCAAAAAGTTCATCGGTTTGTTCTGAACCTACGAGTTATGTAGAGTAGTGTAGACTACTGTAAGGATCTTCAAAGCAAGAAAAAAGGACAACAGGCTATGTCCACCGAGCTGACTACCCATGTGCCTCTCAGTTGTCAGACTACATCCACTTGCATACTTTTTGCATACATCCACTTGAAAAGCAACAGTACTACTTTTTGCTTTCCAGTACATCCACTTTTTGCATTCCAGCAAAAAGTATTCAATGAAGATGACGATTAAAATCTCTGTTTTCAGCGAGGACGACATCGAGTGTATCAGCACACTGATGCATTCACTCAATTATCACGTTCGCTTGAACAACAACGTCAAGAGTTACTCTGACCTTCTCTCAGAACATTTTCCAATCACTCCGAGTATGGAGGAACACGCTTGTTGTGTTCGTATGTTGTCTTGACCTCGATCATGCACACAACTTAATGGGAAGATCTGATGATTAAGCTGCAAAGGTCTGATGATAAAGCTGCTTCTGAGGGTCTGTCTTCCCGTGGGTGTTGATGCAGCTTGATTCGCATTCTCACTGTCCAGTTGTACATTGAGTTTTACACAAGGCAGAGTACTTCATTTCAGAGATATCGACCAGATTTCATAGAATCATGGCCGGAGATGATGGCAACCGACCCATTGAACGTCTTTGGCTGACGGGTATGGATAGACTCGGAGACTGTTTAAGGGAACTTCTTATTTCCAACCCATCATTGAAGAAAGTGTTGTTGTCCCGGTTGCAAATGCGTCCTGAGGAATGGCACCAGCTCGGCGAAGTCATACGTGACAATGCTACAGCGACAACTAGAGATGTAAGCTTTTCTTTAGACCAAGATGATAGAGATGACTGGAAGTCAATAGAAGCTCTTGCATGTGCTGCTAGCTCCGATGTCAAGGAGCAAACCGTGGAGCTTGATCTCTCAACTTCGAGTGACCATGAGTTGATGTTATCATTAAATCTATTAGGCAGGGTACTGCGCGGGGATCAAATCTCTGAAATCTTTGAATATATGGGCGGGACTTCCTGGCACTCCACTTACCAACGAAGATAGAACGAAAAGTATCCTGTCGATGAATGGACAAACTGGAGATACTCCCGTCCTGAAGAGAATCCTCCTAAACACTCTTGGCTGGAATCTATTCGGCCGTTGATCTTGTTTTTCCCGTGTTTATATTTTGCAGAGTTTTTTCTTTCGAGATGGGAGAAGTTTGAGGGTGGACCTGACAAATCTAGAGGAACATCGACCAATTCAAATGTGTACTAAAGAGTCGGTCAATATTGAAATTTCGGCTGACATGTTCTGCTTGCACTTGTTGTTGCAGAAGCTTTTGTTCTTAATAGATGACGGAATTTCAGTTCAAGCTCGTCCTTAAGATCCAGGACCCAATGCATATTCTAAAATATTGGGAGCTGAGTCTGTCAATTGCAAACAATGCGTGGAACACATTGTAGACGAGGTTGATAAGAACACACCCGCAAGTTTATCATCGACAGGATACTTTCCGTTCTATATTCGTTGTCCGTTCTATCTTCGTTGTATCTATCAACGAAAATAGAATGGTAAGTATCCTGTCGATGATGACCTTGATCAAGGTTCTGCTCAACTCTAAAGGGCAGACACAGCATGGGCACTCCTCCCAATATACTTTGCATATGAGAGCTTGATGTTGAATAATCTGAACTTGAGGTACCCAGTAAGTGACTACCTTGCCACATTCGCCCACTCGTTCCAGGAATTGTGCTGGAAGTGCAAGAACCAAATCATCACCGCTCTCCTGGTAAAGAAACCATAGAAATCGGCATTGGCTTGCCTCCGGTGCAAGGGCTAATTCACGAAGACTTTCCGGTGTCCACTTTGCCATGCTACCATAGCAGATGTATACTACAGAGGAGACAAGCTGACGGTCCAGCCACTCCAAACATTCCTCTCTTTCTCCCTCTCGCGCAGCGGCTTCAGTTCTTGCTGCTGCAAGCGGCCCAATCGTGAACACTTTAGGAACCTGCACAATCCCACATGACAGCAGCATGACCTTCCCAAAGACAAGATTGTTTACTCTCTCTGTCTGTGGATAATTTTGGCATGCGATCTAAAAAGCTGTACATTATAATTGTTGTAAACTGGAATCTGAAAAAGTTATGATTAGAAGTAGCTAAAAGGTTAACGGAGGAGAAGTTTAGGTTTGTTAATCATATCCGTAAGAGTTGGAGCGTCAGTTTCTCAAATTTGATTTTCCAAGTAAACAATGTAGTACAAACCTGTGAGAGCACAAATGCGGATTCACACACAAGTGCGGATTCTCTTTTTCTTCCAAATTTTGATGTGTATCCTATCGAGATGCCATCGAATAGAATCTGAGCACTAGCAAAAGAAGGTTCGTCACAAACACAAAAACATCTACAATAGAGAAGGCTTTCCCAAAACTGTTTCGGCCTAGAAATCAGAGAAATCCGAGCAGACGACAAATCTGAGCAGTCTCTACGTTTGGCGAAATAGGGTGAGAAGGAAAACACGCCTGGGGAAGGGTGTAGATCGTCATATGTACCTGAGCCCAAAGACAGAACATGTCTGCTATGACGCATGTGGGTAGGCCGGCAGCTCCTGAGGATCGGGCAGAGGCCATATTTTGAGAGTAAGGTTCTGCAGCTCGCATCACGGCGTACGAGTCTTTAAATGGTCTGCCCCAGTCTTCATGCAACTCACGTTCCGACTCATCGTGGTCCATAATGGCCAACCGAATGTCGAGACTTTGCAGCGCTTCGGGCGAATGAAGCGAGTGGATGTGTGGCAGCATGTATCGGTCCGTGAAGATTGTGACAGTGATGTCTTGCTTGGCGAGCTTGGCTGACAGCAACACGGCCGAGGTGACATGCGAAACCTAGATTATACTCAAAGGGATAACTAGTACGTGCGCACGCAACGAGCTCTCCTGGATCTGGATATGTTCTTCATCTGCGGGCGAATTGCCCGCTTCCGCAATTTCTCCCTCCATTACTTTCAACTGCTATCCATTCACTCACCTCTTAACAGAATTTCACCTTGTAGAGTTGGATTCTGAAGATGAATTTCGGCTCTCGATCTGCAGCAGAGGCGATGTCTCCTGCACCAGAGTTCGATATCGCATTCTCAACCATCTCATGCTTCTATAATGTCCCGAGACGAGCAGGGGAGAAAATTTGCTGGAACGCAGAGCTCGTCATCAGGATCTATTTGGTGAAACTGGAGTTTTGAGTCCACTGTATCCTCGTATTCGAAATTGTTCCAGAATTCTGTCTCTCCGTTGATCTTTTGGGATTGTTTGTCTTCGTAAGTTTGCTGAGGAGTCGGAATTTTAGATAAAGATCACTTTCACCGCCACAGGTTTGCTGACATGCTTGGACTCGCTCGACTCAGGGGACACGTTGGAGGTTCTGTAGCCGTCCAGGAGGTGCAGACGGAGAGAAAAGCGAGCACGCGATCATGCCGATGAACCCCGATAGTCTGACTCAGGCTGACTGCGTTGGTCACCGTCGTGCCGGACTTCGTGCCGGACTTCGTGTGTGACAGTCGCGTCGATCGAGCCACTCATCGAATCGAGCGCGCCGTGTCTCGTTCGGCCGTTGTGAGACACGTGTTGGAAACCGGTTGTCATCGCCTTGTGTATTAACTTGCCTTGTGTTCCAACTTAGGCAGCGACAGCGCAGGGCACGGTAGAGGGAGAGAGTGGAAGAGTGACGGTACAATTTGTGAAACAATCATAACACTTTATTTGGTTTTTTTTAAACTGATGTCAAGAGTGATATTCTTTCACTCTTGACAAGAGTGATAGAATATTTGATTTAAATGATTGCAGCGTGGTTGTGTGCTGTAAATTCTATGTGCAAGGGAGTTTATCAAACAAGCATTGATGTCTAGGCTGCAGTAGTAGAGGTCCATAAGTTCTTACAAATGCCCACGCTGAGATCGGGTACGGGATAGTATTCCTTAGTGCACATTTTGAGATGTTTTGCTAGCTGAAGCTAGACAATTCCTTGGAATCGGCTTGCCTAGCAAGATGTGCAGATTTGCAAAAACGGTAGCAGATCGGATTCCGGTGGCAAGATTGATGATGTGATGAGGTTTGAACAGGTGAATACTCTGTCATCTGAGCACCACGAACTCAGCATGCTTTATTTATATTCAGGTTCATTCATTTTAGCTTTGCGGATTCAACAGAATCATTAGGTCCGCCTTGGACACGAAAATGTGATGAAGATTCGAGAGAGTTTTTTAGTTTCCACTATAGCACTTGGAGGAAATCTCTTCTTCAGCATCGCCCACTTCAGTAAGTTGCAGGAAGTCATCCATCACCACTTATTGCAGCAATTCATCGACACTGATTTGATTGTAGACATGGGCGCGGATCTGAGAAAGTGGATGATGGAAACATACACGTCTTATGACAGGGTCGGGACTGTTGCGCTCTCCTGAAAACATTCTGCTATCTCAAAAGCCACTGCAGGTTAATGGAGGTATTGTTCAGGCGAAGCTAATGTCCTGAACTTCTTGCTGGGCATTGCAACTCCAGCCGGATTGGTGCACAGAAGAAATGTCGGTTTAGGGTAGAGTTAGGTTGACTCCCGGTTGTGTTCGAAAAATGTAGCTAATTTTTCATTATCGTAAAGTATTATCGGATGTCAAGATGTCTTCCCAATGTCCATATCTCCTTTCTTTTTCAGTTTTTGTGTAACGATTTTACATGTATCGGCAAGGGTTTTTTATCCATTAACTTGGAAGGCTAGAACACTCACTGAAACTGTGGTACTTATTGATTGTAGCTTGTACAGTATGAAGGGAATTATATAATTTTATAGAAGGCAAGTTCAAGACGAATGCTGCAAGAGTCCATATTCCAAGCATACAGAATTACATATGAACAAATCGAAGCTAGGTAGCAAAGCTATTGAGTTGATTCATGGCTTTAGGCATGAATATTCATAATCTTATTCAAGAGAGTTAGGGACCTTCTAAGAAAAAACTGACCGCTAAGTACCTTAAATGCACATCAAAGAACTCATCACAGAAGTTCTTCTTCAATATGCAGGTCAAGTTATAGTTATTGCATGTAACTTGAGATTATACTGGATTTCATCTCGAATAATAAATCAGCATTCGGGCACTTTTTCCTTCTCATAAGTAATCCACGGACCAGTTTCATTACAGTTCAGAAGTTATATTCTAGTCTGCTATTTGATTGTCCAGAACTATGGCATAACAATGAGATTTTACTCGAACCGTGTATTTCAGCTCAAATTTGTAATTTTGACTTCTGGTTCAATTTATCTTTCACTGGTTTGAGATTAATCTGAGCTGTTTTTTTTATGATAATGCAAGTTTTGAATCTGACTTGATCCCGCTGTAAGTAGGAGAACTAGATTGTAAAGACGAAGCAATAAGATAGCAACAATTGTCTTGTATAAATGACCATAATTCTCTGTTTCAGAGAAAATTTCACTATCACTTGGTTTTGAGTACCGTCTTACTGGTTTCCTGTCCGATTGGTTGACAACATTTCTAATCTATTCCGCCGGTTTATCGATTTCGCCCACCAGTATCTGAAACCTCTCGATAAGTACTTATTGCTAATGTGAAGGGGATTAAAATGAGAGAAATGTTACTGACAAGGAATGATCGTAAATTCAGATGTCCATTTATGACGTAATGTCTTATGACATAGTTCATGAATAGATTTGATGCTGATTATCCTCCTCGTCATCGGATGCTCACAAATATATATATGTGCGACAGCAATTGAAATGTTGGAATGTTTGTGATCTTCTCAATAACAAGATTGGATCTCGATCGCGCAGTTATCTGATCGTTTCAGGGATTCATCTCTGGATGTGAATACCTCCAGCATGAGTTGGAAAATTCGAAATCGTAAGGTCAAAATCAAGTTCCAGATTCTTAAAGCATCTCATTGAGGGAATGTTCGAAAGCACATGTTTAGTACTGTATGGTGTCAGGATATGGTTGCAAAGGAATGGACCCAGTTCACTTTTTGTCAGGATATGGTTGCAAAGGAATGGACCCAGTTCACTTTTTGCCATACATCCAATCTGATCATTGATGCAGTTCTGGAGTTGAGCCAGACAGCTCCTCTACAGGAGTTCCATGAAACTTCAAAATTCTCGTCCTCATATGAATTTCGCTTCTCTCAACTGAATTTTCCGAAGATCCCAAGTTACTACACGGTAGACGTATTGAATGATTTTGAATCAAGTGAGTTGGCTCGTACTGCAATATATCTACGGTGCGCCACCTGCACAATTCGGAGTACCTCGGCGTTCTAGAATCCAACTTCACAAAAACACATGAAAATGATCGCTATAGTTTTGAGTTGTCGCCCAACCGGTTGCGGAACATGTCCGGAGTAAGTTCGTTCCGTGAACTCTCTATAATAGCCAAATAATCCACAAGGCCAAGTCACCAAAACAGTGGATTTGTTCCTCCTTATCATGTCCAGTGCTTTTGTCTGAATTGTCGTCTAGATTTACCCTTGCCTGAGAACGGAAGGCAAAATGGACATTGGGCAGACAGCTTGCTATCTACACGTGAAACTCCTTCCTTGACGTGATGCGGTCATACCAGGCCTACTGCACCAGATCCCATCAAAACTCTGCAGTTGAGCGCCCTTGGGCTGGGATAGATTACCTCCCGGATGCGGCATCCAACCATTTTGGAAAGTATATTCCCTAAATCTCTAAATTTTACTCTAGTAAAAAATTTCTAAATTCCCTATATAGTCAACTTTTAAAAAATAAAATAAAATAAAAAACAAATCCAAAAGTAATCTACTTATTCTGGAAAGAAATTCGGTTGCACATTTTTTTCCTGCTCAACTGCCGGTACAATTTCCCATAGGGAGTTCACGAAATAAGCTTCACCTTAACAATACCAATTTTGGGAATTGTAAAATGTACCCGACCCTACCGTTAGACGTGTATGTTTCCAATATCCACTTTCTAAGAACAGATCAGCGTCAATCGACTGTAGCAGTAAGCGGGCCCTTGTCTACGAACAGATCAGCGTCTATCAACTGTAGCAGTAAGTTGTGAACAATAAGTGGTGATGGTTCACTTCCTACAATGTTCTGAAGTGGACAGTATTGGAGAAGAGATTTCCAATTTTGTTCTGAGCGAGGGTTGGGACTTCAAGCCTCGAAGTGCTATAGTGGAAACTACAAGCCTTTTTCGAATCTTCATCACATTTTCGTGTTTTGACTGTCTCGGAGTCCATGGTGGAAACGAATGCTTTTGTTCAATTTGCAAAGCCGAAATGAATGAACGTGAAGGCACAAAAAGCATGCTGCTTAAATAACACACTATTCACCAGCTAAAATCTCACCACATCATGAATCTTGCCACCAGAAATAAGGTCTGCTGCCGTTTCTGCAAATATGCACCACCATGCTAGGCACGCCGACTCAAAGGATTCAATAAGCGAGCGATAAGGACTCAATAAGCGAGCAGTATGTTTCAAAATGTGTACTATGGAAGACTTCTACGAACCTGATTTCAACTTTAGCACATGTTATTACATATAGACTTTTACCACTCCAGCCTGTTCATCAATCTCTTCGGAATGAACTCCCTTGCTCGTAGGATTTACAACCAAGCTGCCATAAAATTAATCCTGACAGCAGTTGTAGGAAGAGCAAATAAATTGGTTTGATTGTTTCATGAATTGTTCCGACCACCCAGTTCTGAGGATATTCAGGATATAGGACAGACTAAGCATGAGAAAGCTAGCTAGCCGCAGTCAGGTATCTAAAAAGTGACTTGAAGTATTACTTCTTGACCGTCTGTCTCACAAACTCCACACCATCCTCAATGCAACACTACCTTGTCTTTCCAATCACAGGCCAATCTTTTGACCCAAGAGGTTTGCACGAGCCTTCTTCATCTCTTCACGAGCCTGCCGCTCAAAGAATGCACAACGAGTGTTACGAAGGCCAGGTGAGGACAGCCGACGCCATCACATCTTGAACACTGCATGTGGTGGGACCATGATGTGACTCGTGACGTATTTCACCTGATACAACTTAAAAACTGCCGAATAGTTAATAGACGCAAGAGTTTGCTGAATCCTCAGCCATGCTTCTTAGAGCTCCATGCTTATACTACCTTTTAGAACTGCACTACGATCACTATGGCAAATGTCATCTAGTTTAACAACATCAGATTTCAAATCTGCCTAGTCTGAAATCGCTTGGCTCAACCCGAGGGTCACATCTAGTCCAGCCTTCACGGAAAAATGCATGATTTTGAGTGATATATCAATGGTTTTTTTAATCCACGCGCGATTATCCATATCCACACGTATCTTCAAACCTTGTTGATCTTTGACGGGGTGAAACCCAGTTGCGGACTCACACATCAAATGTAACCGAACGG